CTACACTACTATACTCTACTACTACTACTACTATACTCTCCTCCTCCTCTACTACTACTACTCTACTACTCCTCTCCTCATCCTACTCCTTCCATACTATTACTACTACTACTACTACTACTACTACTACTACTACTGCTGCTGCTGCTGCTGCTGCTGCTACTACTACTACTACTACTGCTACTACTACTGCCACTACTACTACTACTACTACTACTACTACTACTACTACTACTACTACTACTACTACTACTACTACTACTACTACTACTACTACTACGACTACCTCATCCTCATCCTTATCCTCATCCTCATCCTCATCCTCATCCTCATCCTCATCATCCTTCTCCTCCTCCTGCTCCTCCTCCTCCTCCTCCTCCATCTCCTCTTTCCCCTCCTCGTCCTCGGCCTCAACGTCGTCGCCGTCATCCCCCTTCTTCCTTCCCTCCTCCCCCTTCTCCTCCCCCCCTCCCCCTCGTCCTACGGACCCCCTCGTCCGCGCCGATCGTCCCTGCCATCACCCACATCACCGTTCGAGCCCCGTCCTCTCTTGGAGCTGCTGCCCCTGGGCGTCCGAGAGCCGGCCAGCTGGCAGGATCCAGACGTCCAGCGCCTCGAAAAAATTGAGACTCAGGTTTTTGTCATTGTTTTCGGCCTCTCGGGGCCTTTCCGGGGCCTCGGGACTGTCAACAAAACGACTCGGGGTCAAAAACCGGTCTTGGGGAGGTCGAGGCGCCAGACGTCCGGGAAGCTTACCCCCGCGGATTGGCATTTTCAGGTTGCCGCGCGCGCGCAGGGCCTGCCCCTTACAGTCAACCCGTATAGTCAGGATGAGCAACGTTCCAAGGCTGCCCCTTCGGCCCATCCTCGACCGCTTTCGCTGGCCGCGCCCCGCTCGCAAAGTATCGACATGGCCTTCCAAGGCCCTTGCATCCTTATCGCGCATCCTCAACTATGCAGGTGGCCTACGCCATGCCGCCGACCTCCACAAGAGGTGAATGATTGAAACGATCGTGGAAGTTATCCCTTGGGTCAGGAGCCTCCTGGATGAAGCTGAGGGTCTCTTGGGACGCCTCCCTGAGGCCTCCTGGAGAACTCTTGGGGGCACGTGGGAGGCTTCGGGGGGCCTCGTGGGGGCCTCTAGGGGGGGCTTCTTGGGGGTGTCTATCCAAGGCCCTTCTAGGCCCTTGCATCGGCCTTCCAGGTGCCTCCCCTCCTCCTCCTCCTCCTCCTCCTCCTCCTCCGAAGACGACGACGACGATGACGACCGGCCCAGGAAAGTGCGTGCTTGTCATACGGGTTGACTGTAAGGACCCGCCCGAGGATCGCTCGGCAGCACAGGCGGCGACGAAGCCAGCGAGGGCCCGGTGCCGATCGGGGGCCAGGGCGGCGGCCTGGGCGCCAGCCCGAGCCGCTCGTCGCTTCGAGAGTTCATCGAGGGAGGAAGCACGGGGACCATGGGCAAGATATCAAGGGGTCCTCCTCCTCCTCCTCCTCCTCGTCTTCCTCCTCCTCCTCCTCCTCCTCGTCTTCCTCCTCCTCCTCCTCCTCCTCCTCCTCCTCCTCCTCCTCCTCATCTCCTCCTCCTCCTCCTCCTCCTCCTCCTCCTCCTCCTCTCCTCCTCTCGGGGAAAGGAGCACGGGGACCATGACCGAGATGTCGCGCGATCCTCCTCCTCCTCCTCCTCCTCCCTCCTCCTCCTCCTCCTCCTCCTCCTCCTCCTCCTCCTCCTCCTCCTCCTCCTCCTCCTCCTCCTCCTCTCCCTCCTCTCCTCTCCTCCTTCGTCTCCTCGTCCTCCTCCTACCCTCCTCCTCCTTCTCCTTCTCCTCCTCCTCCTCCTCCTCCTCCTCCTCGAGGGAAGGAGCACGGGGACCATGTCGCGCGATCCTCTCCCGTCTCCTCCTCCTCCTCCTCCTCCTCCTTCTCCTCTTCCCCCCTCCTCCTCCTCCTCCTCCTCCTCCTCCTCCTCCACCTCCTCCCTCCTCCTCCTCCTCCTCCTCCTCCTCCTCGTCGTGTCCTCGTCCTCCTCATCCTCTTCCTCCTCTCCTCCTCCTCCTCCTCCTCCTCCTCCTCCTCCTCCTCCTCCTTCTATCCTACTCCCGCTGGTGATGTGCCAGAGATCGACGCGCTCGGAGCTTCGATCACGATCTTCCGCGTGAAGAAGAACAAGGGCAAGGCCGCACAGGGCAAGAAGATGTGCAGTATGCAGTTTTGATTCCATCCCGAGTACGTCGGCATCAGGAACATCTTCGTTGCTGCGATCATGGCCCAGGGAGCCAAGAGGAAGTACGGCACCGCGCATCGGGGAGCGCTCGAGCGCGATATCAGCAAGCCCCTGAAGTAAGATCGACGGCGAGAACAACGCCCAGTGTGACCAGCGGCAGTGGCAATGTTGGCGGCGTCGTGAGAGCTACGCAAGCAGTCTCTTCTGGGAATGCAGATACTTCGGCTCGGAGTGCTACGCCGAGAGCTTCCCTTGGGACTGCAGATACGTCGGTACCGAGTGCTACGCAGAGAGCTGCTTCACGGGCGCGTATTGCGACGCCGAGTGCTACACAGGCCGCTTCCGTCCTGCGCGGGGGTTCAGTTCTCCCCTTCCCCGTCCCTCCTCCGTTCCAGCCGAGTGATCGGTTTAGAGCACTTGCTAAGGCAGGCTTACTTCCCCCACCCAGACCCCCTCCAAATGCTGTTCCTGAAATGACGTGTTCGGCAGCTCTTCCGAATCAGCTCTTAATTCACCTCCCTCCTGAGCCGAGGCCCAAAGGGAAGGGGGGAGGCGGGGGCGGGGCAAGGGCAAGGGCCGAGGAGAGTGACGAGGTGGTCGGTTATTTATTGGCAAGTGCCACACCGCCCAATACCCCCTGCGTGGGGGTTCCAGGTGCGGTAGGGCCCGCTCGCTTGTTGACGACAGCAGGCCCTCAACGAAGCGACAGATTACAATGTAATATTAGCTAGATCCCGATTGCGACGATGTGACGAGGCAGCGTGTTCGACTAGCCTACATTGTTGGGATCCGAGGCTGGTTCAGTTCAGTTCAGTTCCTCCTCTTCTTCCTGTGGAAAGGAGCACGGGGGCCATGACCGAGATGCCGCGCGATCTTCCTCCACTTCCTCCTCCTCCTCCTCCTCCTCCTCCTCTTCCTCCTCCTCCTTCTCCTCCTCCTCCTCGTCCCCGTAGCCATTTTGGCTCAAGATGCCTTGTTCCGCAGGGGAACACGTGGATGCCGCTAGTCCGCGGCTAGCTGTCGAGTGTTTTCAGGCCCGATCAGTCTGCCCTGGTCGGCGCTTGCAGTCCGTGTTTGTGAGCTCCTGCTGGAGCAATCCCCCCTTTTCGTCTGCCAGGCGTCGCGAGCGATGGCTTGGCGGTCGCGCACCCCGTGGCGTGCTGCTGCTGGCCGTGATCGGCGTGCTGGTGGCGATCGTGGCGGTGGCGGTGGAGGCCGCCCGCGCCGCGGGGGAGATGCCTACTCTGCGTGTGCAGCCTGCGGCCACTGGGGGTACGATCGCTACGGGAATTGGTGCTGCTCGAAGTGCGGGGGCAGCTACCAGGCGGAGGGTTCCGCCCGCGCGGCGGGCCGCAGCGCCCAGGCTGGGGCTGGGCAAGAGGCTGACCTCGCCCGGCAGCTCAGCGCCCTGGCTGCCCTGCACCCCGCCATGGCCGCTACGCTGCAGGCCGCCAGTGCTGAGGCGGCTGCAGTGGGTGCTCAAGCGACTGAGGCGCCAGAACCTGCCAGTGCGAATGATTTGGAGAAGAAGGTGGCGGCGCGCCAGACGGAGCTGCCCAAGGATGTTGAGAAGGCGGCGCGGGCAGAGCGGATCGCCCAGACCGAGGTGGAGGCGCGCTTGGCAGCCGCTGTCAAGTATCGTGAAGCCTTCAGCAAGCAGAGGCGGCCCACGCTTCAGCTGTGGAGGGGTTCCGGGGTTGGCTCGGTGCCAGCAGGAGACCAGAGCTGCGCGGGAGGCCGAGCAGCTGTTCTCTGCCGAGGCCTACCGTGAAGAGCGCAGGCGAGAAGAGCGTCGCCTGGCCGCAGCAAGGCGTCGCGCTGCGGCTGCGGCCACTGCTGGCGCGGCGGCACCTGGCGGCGGGAGTTCTCAACGTGTGGTGCCTGGGCCTCAACCTCCAGTGCAAGTGCCTGTACATGCTGCAGGGGATGATGCTCGTGGTGGCGCTGCTGGCTCTGGCTCGCTGCCACGGCCACCGCCCAACTTCACCGCCATGGAGGAGCCTGAACTTCGTGCGCGGTGCCAACTTCATGATCAACAGTACCAGTTTTGGCAAGCGGCGCAGCGGATGCGCGTCGCCCTCGAGCGTGATGATGATGAAATGTCGGATGTTGCTTCTGATATGGGCGCAGATCGTCTCGACAAGCTACGTGAACTCAAGAAGCGTGCCATCGAGCAGCCCTTGCAGGAGGCTGAGCGAGATCGGCTTGAAGAGCTGTTATGCAAGCAGGCCAACCAGCAGTCGGCCAAGCGTGCTCGAGTGGCGCGATCGGACTTCAAAGCCTCATTCAGACGCATGCTGCAGCAGTTCCAGCCGCGAGTGGGCGTCGTTCCAGGTGGAGGACAAGGGCCCGCAGTCGTGGGAGAACCAAGTGGAGCGCCTGCACATGCTGCAGCAGGAGCTGTACCAGGAGGAGGCGTGGCAGCTGCAGGCGCTGGCGATGCAGGAGAACGCGCGCAGTCTTCCTAGCCCTGAGCAGGCTGAAGGAACAGGTGCTGAGGGCGGCGCGAGGCCTAGCAGGCCTCTGAGCCGCCATTGCCTGCAGCCAGCGCCGAACACAGTCGAGTTTCTTTTCTGTAATATCACGAGCTGGAATGCGGCTTCACTGTCGTTTGCCCAGGATGTGAAGCCAATATGCGATGGTTTTTCTTTTGCGAGCATCGGGTGCTCACCGATGCTTGTAAGCTCGCGAAACGGAAGTGTAACCAGATGAAATGGAGGCCCCACCTCACCCCCCGCCACTCGCACCCCTGGAGGGGGCCTTCACCACGGGGGAGTTGGGGCCGTCGTGAGTAGAGGGCTTTGTGTTTGGCGTTTCCTGTCTTCAGATTCGTCCCTCATGGACCAGGGCTCTGGAAGCCACTGGCTCTTTCTGCAGCTCAAAACCAAGCAAGCTGTTCTTGCTGTAGGTGTTTGCTAGTTTGATGACGGCCTGGGTGCAAGCGGGGTGAATATAGATCGGTTGCGTGAGATCGCTGAGTTCGCGGGCACCCTGGCTACCCCTTGGACCCTTATGGGCGACCTTGATCACCGATCTGGACTTGGGCGGGTTTCCGAAGCTGCCCCATGCTCGCGCTATTCCACCCGAAGGAATCGAGTTTACCTGTAGCCAAGGGAGGGGCTCATTGATAGATTATGTGGTGGCCTCAGAAGAAATTGCTGATTACTTGCGCGTGGCTAAACATGACCCCTCCCCGTTCAAGACTCACGCTTGCCTAGCGGTGTCTCTGGCTTGCACAGTGGTCGAGCAAGAGGTGTGGCGGCGTCGGCGTGCACCTTCGTTCCCACCATGCTATGGACCTGATCTACCGTGGTCCCAGTATCTGGAGCAGGTGGCAGAGCATGATCTTCCCCCCCTCAGTTTCTGGCTGA